AGCCTCTGCGCTGCTGGCAGACGCAACTTCCCGCCCGTCGTCATCGACCGTGGACGCGACAACGGTAAACTTCTGCTGCTTAACCTTGCCATGCGTGACTTTCAGGGGTGCGGCCTCGTGCACTCTTGCTTGGCTTTAAGGCAACTTTCTTTCGGCCACAAAGCTACCATCTTCTTTGCTTCCGCCAGCTGAATGAAAAGGAAACTACAGGTGGGGAGTTTAGGGTATATAGGGCTTCTACAAGGCTTCCATAAGGCATGTACACCTTACATAAGGCTCCTAGAATGATAACTACCCACCAGAAAATGTCCTAGATTGAGACTTCTCCGCCAGCTGAACTCACCATTTGCAAGAGCTCAAACACCTCTGCGGTAGTTATAAGTGGGGTTTAAACCCCTAAACCCTAAACCCTAAACCCGGGGGACGAAGGATGTACAAAAGCTCTGCCGACCAGCAACCAACTCGATGTAGTTCCGGACATGCTCCTTGTGGCGCCCTCGGACAAAAGCTTCACATGTCTGCAAGGGTTTTTTTTTTTTAAGTGCAGTGGCCCCTTTCTCCCGCCAAAGAGCCCGCCTTATGCAGGCTTGCACTGCAAGGGTTTAGGGTTTAGGGTTTAGGGCTCGCTTTCCTCCTCTCGATGCACGCATCACGCACCTGAGGCAACACATCCTGGGCTAAGACGGACCACCATCTTGGCGCTGGCAGCCGCTGATGCAGCTGCACGGCAGGAATCCTAAATCCCTGTCTGTCGAAGCTTGGGACCCGGCCGGCGTCTTGGATGGATCTGGGCTAAATTGAAAGCGATCCAGGAAGAGGGGGCCTAGGGTCTAGGAGTGTGCATGCACGCACAGCTACAATGTCTCACCCTAAACCCTAAACCCCAAACCCTGAACCCTAAACCCTACAATGTCTCACCTGCAGATCAGCAACAACCCTCAAGGCTACCCCCTGACGGCCTTCCGGTTAACCTTGGGGCGACAGCGGAGGAAGCCCGTGAAATGCTCGTTCCTCAGCGCTTCGGATTTAGGACTTAGGGCTTTGGGGTTTAGGGTTTAGGGTTTAGGGTTTAGGGTTTAGGGTTTAGGACTTAGGGCTTAGTAGGGTGTGGGGTTGAGGGTGTCAGTGCTTAGGGTTTAGGGCTCATGGTTTCGGATTTTCAGATTCCTGCACAAGTTGAACATGATCTGGAATCCCCGATTGATGCTCCGGGGGTACAAGGTCTTCGAAACTTCTTCAGTAGCCAGTCTCCGGTGAGAACCTCACCCTCTGCATTTCCAGTCAATTCTTTTTGAAAATCAGCTGGACCTAGCCTTCCCCTGATCCATTTCAACATGAACCAATGTGCCCTCGAAATTATGGAGGCTCCCCTTTTTGCTGGAGGGCGGGGCGCAACATCACCCTGCAACACAACCCTACCCCCGGAACCGTTGAGGCATCCGTTGCGAAGAGGCAAAGAAGTCAAGTCAAGGTGCCTTCAGACAGCTCCAAGCGGTTGAGGCCGTAGGTGGCCTCGGAAAAACAAAGCAGGTGGCTCTTCTGAGAGTGGATCCCAGAGACTCCAATACCCCTTAATTAAGGAATATACCTTAAATTATAGTAGGATCCCTGATAAATTATAGTAGGATCCCTGATAAGATTTAAGGTATATTCCTTAATTAAGGGGTATTGGAGTCTCTGGGATTGCTGCTTGTGAAGCTGTACCGTTGCTGGCTCCATCTCAGCCTGTAGTCTTGAGGATCAAGCAGAGCCCTGTGTGACGGTGGGGAATTCGTCCGGGTCTTCCTTTTCCTCCAGGGCAAGTATCCGAATACAGAGTCTGGCCACAGCTCATGACACGTGATTTAGGGTTTAGGGTTTAGGGTTTAGGGTTTAGGGCTTAGGGCTTAGGGCTTAGGGTTCGGGTTTAGGGAAGTATCCTGCCCGTACAAGATGACCATGACACGAAGTACGACGGGCACGATGGCTGACATGGTGGCTACGACCACCAGCACCTCACTGGCGATGTCCTTAGCTTGTTGAGGCTTGAGGTCTCAAGACAAATTGGGGGAAATGTTAGGGCTGAGGGTTTAGGGTTTAGGGTGTAGGGCTTAGGGTTTAGGTTTTA